AGATTTTTGTTCTATGGGGTCGTATGAAACTGAAGATGCGTTTATATGGAAAATCTAATATACATAAGCTGTTGAAGATGACCAACGAAGTTGTTGTTAATATAGAAGAATGTGAAAATTAGTAATTAACGTGCAGCGTACTAATGATTTTGGAGGTCATCTTATAATAAAAATTTCAACCTCGAAAGATTATGAGAGAAAAAGAGGGAGAGAGAGAGAGAGATTATAGGTGACATAATTAATTTACTAAAAAATTCACTATGGCATAAATTTTAATTTATATTTCATTTCTGTTATACGCTTATTTCAATTCGTCAAATTCAATAATTGCGAAAGTATAATTACCTTTGAGATTCACTGTATATTCTATTATTTTTACAAACCTTTATCTTGCTCTTTTTAATTTTCGCATTCTTAATAAGAACGTGTTTGCCAACTTTGTTTTTGCGTAAAGTGAGCTTAATAGCGAACATTAATTTCCAATTTGAACAAGGCTGTATAGTGAACGTGTAGGCAAATAAGCCTGTAGCGTAAGTAAGCATTATAACGCCGAAGTAGGAATGCCTTGGTCACAAATATAGGAGATACATTCGCAACAGTCCTAATCGCAAACAGCGATGCTCGCCGGAATAAATAGCGATTGTTGATTTAGGTCTTCGTGATTATGCCGCCAGCGATTTAACGTTGAACACGATTTCGATTGAGCTTAAAGGACAAAACGCATTGAGTGGTACATTGTGAATTTAGTCATGAACGTCTATGCAATGGATGATTATTTAACGAAAATTGAATTTATCGATCAATTGAAAGACTCATTCTACTTAACCGGTACATAAAGTATGTATCTCATTTGATTAGTATTTACATTCAGTTATAAAACTTTTTTTAAACGATTATCGAGATAAAATACAAATGTATTTTATCATAAATATCAAATTTCTTATTTTTACATATTAACAAAATATAACTTTAAATTTGCTCAGTTTATTTACACATTTCGAGAAATAATTAAAAATTTCGAAATTTTACATTACATTATCTCGAGTATCTATGTTAAAAACATACTTAGTTATTATACATTGAGGCTTTCTAAAACAATACGATTGAGCTAAAAATCGGTGAACTCATTTTTGTCGTCTCGAGGAAAACGACCGGTGTAGAAGCAAAATGTGCCATCGAGTCGAAGATGGAGGAGTCATGTCGTGCTGAGATAAAAATTTCTCTACAAAAAGTATCGTACCGTAAAGCAGTAACGGTGATCTGCACGCGTTCGCAGATTTTAGGGTGAGCTCGTAATGCGATTCGGCTCGATAAGGACGTGTATTACCCGAAAGTGTTACTGGACCAATAGCCGTTCCAGTTCAAGATAATGTATGTCGTAGGATAAAGCTGTCTTCCCCTGGTCAATTTTAGAACTGTGAAAGAAAGCTGGGAACGATTCTTTGAAACGACCTGGTGAAGCATTTATATTCTGTTCTTTCACACGCGAAATTTTACAACGTAAAACTTTTCTAATGTCGATGTATTATTAATATTTGAATCTTCTTTCGTTGGTGAAACGTGTGACAAGAAGGAGAAAAATGTTATTTCTTTCATATGATCTCGATGTACTTGATTGAAAATTATAGTAAATTCTCAGACGTGATGTTAATTTCATTTGTCCTAAAACAAGAAGCTAACATTCTATTATGTTGAAAAGTTATTCCATAATTTTGGAAGGATATTCCATAATTTTGGAAAGTTATTTCATAGGACATTCTGATAAATTTGTTCGATCTATTAACCGTAGAAAGTTTCCAGGACGTAAAATGTCGACTCAGGTTTTACTTCTCTGAAATTGAAACATTCTACTTTTAAAGAGGAAACTATGTTTCGAGAAATTTTAATACCATCGAGCAAAGTATTGGAGTTTGCATTTCACCTTTGCAGACAAATGCACAGCGGTACGTATTAAGAGAAGAGATTTCCGATTAATTCTTTCGAAATTCATAATTCTTTATCTAGAATTTCATCTTAATTATCGAATTTCAGTTAAATTTTAGTCAAATTTCTGTTAAAGAAGATGTGTCAGCTGATATTCTTGGATATTTTACTAATATATTACCATCTCATAAATACCAGTATAAACATATATTGTTCAATTAAATTACCTAATTAAGCGAGAAAAGTAGAATTGTTAATAATGTCAATTATTAATATTAATAAAAAAAGGAAAAACGAAAGAAAATATTATTATATAATACAGAGCTTTATGTAATCGAACCTCGTATGGTCAAGACATACCGCAACGAGAACACAATCCATTTTCGATTGTTCGCCATTGTCAGAGCAGCAAAAAGGGCGGACGCTCGAAAGTTGACTTATATTGTTCTATAAACAAGCCTGTATGTACGTGGTTAAAGAGAATCTGATAAAAGGAGTTAATTAAAGGAGGTTGGACGTCAAAGGCTACTGTAGAAGCTTTATTGTGTGCCGAAGAAAACGAAAAGAACAGACGGGAGAAAATGTTTGCGACGTAAAAAGCTACTGCAATGTGTGAGCTTCGGGCAACCCGAGGTTTAATTACACAAGGTACATCTTCAGCCTGAAGCGTTCAGAGATAATTATGTTAGTTGGTAATTATCTTCGAACGACTTCCCCTCAGTTTTCTTATTTCTCGATTCTCGAAATAATAAACAGAAGAGGAGGAACGGCTGCACCGTCGGCAAATTAACCGCGAATCATCGATTAATTGGACTGCACCATCGATTGATTGGAAAACTTAGTTAGATCTATGGTGCTCGTTAGTGGCATCCTGCTAGTGGCAATTATCGTTAATCTCCGTCGAATATTTGTTCGAAGCACACTTGCCAATTGAACGGTGCGAATGGCTAATTGTACAAGGGCGACAATAATTCGCGTGATGAATATGGGACGTTGAAATGCTTGCTTCAGCGAGCGATGCATGAACAACGTTTAAGCATCGGTCATATGGCGCTATTATGTGTAATTTGTATCGGAGCAAAGGAAATGGAATTTTCTTTATCGCTATCATATCGATTTTTATATTTTGCATATTAATCTTTTCATTTTTAGTTCGTTCGTTAAGGTATTTGTTCTGCGAGTATAATAGCTTAATCTGACTCTACATTGTCAATTCGTTGTATGGAAACTAGGTCATTGACAATTCGTGCGAAATCACAGTCACGAAGCTTTTAGTTTTACAAATATACAAAAAACAGTTCCAACTATTCGACTTAACAGACGAACGTATAATGCAATAGAAGTAGACTTTTTAAGAGCGTAGAACGGTGAAAAGATCAGGCTTGAAGATAAACGACCCAGTTTGCCGATCTAGCGTGAAAAAATATGTTTATCTACGGAGGATTATGGGTATACTTAACGATTTTAAACGATGCATGGGATTCTAATTTATAGGAGCTAGCGGAACGCAAGTAGTTTTACTTCACGATTAATCGTTATAATGTTAAGTAACATCTACTTTTCAATATATCGTTATAATTATTTTTTTGTATTGTTAGTGTGCGCTGGAAATATTCTATTACGCGTTTAACATTATTGCGGTAAACGTTATTATGTTACTTTATATATCGTGTTTCGTTTTTGCCAATCGCGCAAATTCGTTATCGAGCAGAAATTCTTTTGTCTCGACATTGACATGTTTATCGTTTTCGCTTTAAATCGTTGCTGTATATTTTAAATATTTTAGGTTCTACGCGAAATTTATAACATATTCTCTTTCTGAAATGGTAAATATTAGGTTATATCGTTATTAGTTAAGTTATTATTTAAGAGAGTTCTATTCTTTTCTCAAACATTATTACAAAATAGAAGAAGAGAAGAGACACAAGAAACATGTGTTTAAAAATACTTGTCAATGAACGTGTGCTATAAAACATTAATCTACTAAATCTATAGTTGAAAAAAACATGTAATTTTAAGGATTCATGTTGCTAAAGTACATAGCCGTATTGTAGATTCTCTCTTATTTATCAGAACATCTATGTGAGAGAAATTATAGTGTTCTACGGTCATGGTACATATAGATATCACACTAAACTACACCCTTTACTTTGACTTCAATAAATCAACGTATAACACTTGAGTCTTTTGATGTTAATTTGTATTTGTACATCCTATATTACTGAATAAAATACATTTAAAAAATATTTCAAGTGCAAGTTTTTTTTCTAATGATAATTTAACAGTTTAAATACTGGCAACAAAGATGCGTAACAATCATTTGAGAGTATCGAAAGTTCATAATGGGCAATTCCGTTTATGCGATATCTCGTAGATAATGAGACTTTCTGTCAGTGTAATTCTGGTTTTAAATGTAGTTAACGTTGCGAATTGGTAATTTTTTTTCTAGGGCTTGTAATAATTAGATCTGAAAGTGGCTCATTTTTCCCCTTGGAAGTAGAATTGAGTGCTTTGTTGAAAATCGATCACCGTTAATATCCTATCCTTATTTGCACATACTTTCAACAGCTTTCCGAGTAACGACGCTGCTGATTGGATTTTAATTCAGTTTCAAAGCAAATTTTTCAGTGTTTACGATGAATCTCGATGCTTTCGTACTACAGTGTTTTTATTTCCATGTTCGATGAATTTTTAGAACAGATTTTTATGACAGATTTTAAAGACTCTCGAAACAAAATTCCTTTAGGTTTCGCGTACAAATATCGTATCTGTTTCTTCGTTAAATTTAGTTTTATCGCTTCTTATGTTCTTTTTTATTTCCATAGTTTTTTTTTCTAAGTTGTTTAACAATAACCACTTTTAAAGCACACGGAGTATTGCACCTTAACCGAATATATATTTTTTAAATTTTATGTTTTAATTTATTTTATTTTAAGATTAAATAATTTAATACTTTTAATCATTTGAATTTTTAAGTAAATATTGTTTAATTTAATGGTTTGGAATTTGGATAATAGACCTGCACGAGTAAATAAAGTTAACAGTAAATAATGTAACACATACTAGAACGTGCTTACCTCAAAACTGAGAATACCGCTATGATCCTGGTCCAAGGTGTTGAAAACGTAATGTGCATACTGGCTAGTATTAGCTGGAAAAGTAAATAAAGGTAGATATTTTAATCACGTTCGTGGAATATCTGTATAGTTATACCTCACCAGGAAAAATAAATTATTGCTTATGTTAATCCTTTCAAGTGCCTTCGAAGCTATTAACGATACGTTGGAAGGTGTTTTAGATAAAGACTGAATAATTTTAAGGGAAATATATATAGGTAAATGGTGCCAACTCGACTCTATAACTTCGTCTTGTATATAAATTGCAATATAAATATAATTTACGAATAACAGATTTTACATTCATAGAATTAGAAATGACGTTGAAGAGATAAAAGTGGTAACCCATAAAAAAAGGTCACAGCCACAAGAGACAAATAAAACTGTCTTCCTTAACACATTTTCCACTAACACAAAATGTCATCACTAAACGAAAAGCTACATAATATACAAGCATAGCAAACATCGATACGGACAGTATTTTAAATCTAATATTTCTAACGCGAATAATTTACAATTTTTAGTTAATTTTTTAGACGTCACCAAAATTAACTCCGAATTTCTACTTTAAAGAAGATTCGTCGAAAAGAAAACCCTTGGCAATAATAATTTTGAGAGTCTACCGAATATACATAGAAGTACAGCCTTAATAAGCACTTGAATTTCTCAGATGGTAAATACTCAGTGACCTTTCTAAGGAAACCTTTCCAGATCGTCGAATTTAACATGGTAAATTGAAACTCTACCGGTGTGCGCTAATAACTTCTACTTGTCCAACAGAAGTTCAATTCAGAGCAGAGGTTCATACTCGAAATTATTTGACGGAGATGCTACTTTATTTCTGTTAGAAGGAACACATTTCTTTCGTTCTCTTCGAAAGAAAATCGTTATCCTATCAAACAAAATAAATCGATATTATGGAAAACTTGTAGTTACAATACATGTTCTTTGAGAAAAGTATATTTTGAATAGTCTATTATTCGTAGTTTTCAATGGAAATATATGTATAGAATTTAAAGAAACGAGGATAGCAGTTTGATACTTTATGAAACAACTGAATGTTGGTAAATTTACATTTATTATATGTATATTCGTAGCATGTTCATTCAAAGTCGCTAAAATAACCAAAATAATTATGTAAAGATGAGATAAAACTTGAATGAAAATTAGATACGTATTCAATACGACTCCAAATTAGGAAAAATTATGAAAAATCATTAAAAAAAGGTTATTTGTTACGTATGACTTTGTTAATTACATTTTTAAAAAATAATGAAAAGAATTACATAACAGTTTAATAAAATGTATAATTCCAAAAATCGAACGACGATATTTTACATGTCTTTCGTTATAGGAGACTTTTCGTAGAGAAGTGTCAAGGTTAAGGAATGTCAGTCTCGTCTTTACTTAAGCAGAAATCTCGGAGGTGCTGCTTCAATTGAAAGGATTCGTCTAGAAATTAGTACTCAACTCCTTCCAGCGAATTATCACAGTGGGACTCTTGTGCTAGCACGAGCACCAGCGTAAAGCAGATTAACTCGTTAAAGTTGTCAAGCTTGTACGAATTAGGCTTCTAGAGGAAGACAGATATGCTATTACTTGATGGCAAGACAAAAATCAAAAATTAGTTTTGTGTTCCGAATGTCACCCTATCACAAACTATAAAGAGATTAATACTAATTAATTTAATATCTAATTTCAACATTTTTAAGCTTTCCGCTAAATATAAAAACTTTGAGTCCTTTAAGAGCATAATATTTAGTAGAATTTGCAAATTTGTTGATTTCAAAGTAAAGAAGTATGTACACATAAATAGAATGTATTTCGTGCGAAATAATTTACAACAACTGCAATTAAAAACAAAATCGCCTTTTTTTTCTAAATATTTATAAATTTCCTTATTTTCCACAAACTGTCCTCTTTTTTAAATACATGTATTGATCTTTGTTTTCGAGAATATTATAATTATTTTTATTCTGTTTTTATCTCTGACTGTTCGTGTTTATAGCCAATTAAAATCGCATGTACATATCTATAGGATGGTTTCAATACCTATATATAACAGGAATTGAAACCATCAAAGTGACGATATTGCTCGTATAAATGTGTATATGTATGTACCAAGTCTATACAAACATGCGATATTAAATTGGAAACAGTTATTGAACTAGATTTCTCTAAGTTACGAAACTTATCAAATTTATGCGTTTGTTGTTGCTAAATGATTCTGATAATATTTTTTATCCCATTGATTGTTTAACAAAATAGATTTAACCGAATACATTAGTAAAAATATAGTAGGATTGTTATCGAACAATAAAAGTTTCTCATAAAAAGTCTAAGATATCTTTTGTATTTCTCGAGTAATATTTATACGGTTGAGATAAGTTTCGTTCACTGTGAAAATTCTTTGGACATTTTTCACTGGAACGGGAATTCGATGCAGCGACGTTTGCGCTTGGGGGTAAAGTGGTAATATTTTTATGGTAAAAGACCTGCTCAGAGACCAAATCTTCGAAAGCAAACTCTAATCTACATTCTAGTTGCTTTCGAAATTTTTACTCGATATACGGAATTGAAAAGTAAATGAATGTAAAATTATCCATTTGGAATTGAAAATTCGAAACACAAGTATTTTGCACACATTTGATTTTTCATCTAATCTATGAAGTTTATAAAAATTAATTAGAATTAATTAAACTAACTGATGAGCTCATTATAAACTGAATCCCATCAATTTTTAAATAAGTTTCTTTATTAAAGATTAGTTGTGCTGTGTAATATGAATATTTTATAAGAGTATACTTTTGCTAGATAAATAATGGTAAAAGAGAGACATAAGAAGATATGAGAGAAAAGTATTAAGAATAGTAAAAGAAGAATGATATTGTCAAAGCAATGAATAGTTTTTTAGGAGAGTAAAAGTTTGCAGATCAAACTTACATTTTTCAGGGATTTGGGAAGTTATATTCTTTTAAAGAACGGAAATGGATATCTATTGAATACTAACAATAACTTTTTCCCCACTTGCATTTCGTCTGATATTCTTTCTTACAACTTTATACGAGTTTCCTGTTTACTATGGAAGAATTTGGGAACCATATTATAAGTTAAATTTGTTCGCCGCACAAGGATTCTATTTTATGATGAAAATAGACTTTTACTATTTTCTAAATTGAACAACGAGTCAATTTCGACTTTACTTTCTAAACAATGGTTTATAGCACGTATACTTATGCTAATTTTACATATTACAAGCTCCAAATCGAGAAACTGCACGTTTTTAGAGGGTACTTTATTATTTTATATTGTATACCTTTTTTAAGAATACACCTAAGTTTATACAATATATTTCTATTTAAAACATATTTATATTATTAATTTTTCATTTTCTAAGAGCAATTGTAATATATTATGTATTTTTTATATGCTTCGAAAAATTGTATTTCTCTTCCATTAATAATAAGGTTCATCATATTTTCACATTTTCCAATTTATAACATTACCATGCCAACGATTTTTAATTATTCTTATACTGTTGAAAAGTTAAAGTATTTTAATTGCGCTGGAAAGATCAGATTTTACTGAATAACGTGACTTTAAAACATTTAATTTTGTATATAAATTATAATTCAAAACGTGTGTTGGGTATTATTAGCTTTTCAACATTTAGATGATCATTTTGAAATGAGAATACTTTGTTATACAAATCACAATGCTCTAAGCTTTTAACGAAACGAATATCTTTCGCAAAGATTATAAAGATACTTCACTATATTTATTATGTCAATATATCTAATTGATTTCAAATTCTACACGAATAAAATTTCAAATCTATATTTGACGTGAAATATTGTATTTTTATATATTGATATTAGATGTGATCTAATTAGGTATTGTACATTATACTATATCAGACATATACAATTTTCCAAAGTTAGACAATAGTTGCTGTAAGCAACCTTATAGCGAAAATTCACTATTCAGCAAAATGGGTGGTATATCGTGTTGTCGTAAATCACCTCTTTGACTTTCGACTATCGATCCAAACCTTAGGACGTCCTTTTGTCATTGAACATTCCCTCCGACAGATCCAAAGGTATAAATCTCATTTCATTGCACGAACATACATGAGAGTTTCGTTTACCTTCTCGAAACGCTTGAGGGCTTTTAGATAAGTACAAACATGTATCTCTTTGATAAGAAGCAGGGATAGACGCTCGCGGCTGATCCTTTTGACCCTTGTACCTCCGCTAGCATTTACAACCATATATTTTTGTATTGTATTTTATCACGAAAAATTGATTGTTATTGAAAAGTATTCGATATATAGCCATGTATTATTTTCGTAATATTATAACTGTTTCTGTCAAGCGAATATTAATAACTAATCAAATTATTTTTTGAAATTGTTCGGTTGTTTTATTGGAAACGAAACAGAAATATACGAGAGTGACCTAATTAAGTATATTGCTCTTAAATTCCTACGCAAAACACGTATTTTTTATAGCACTGAAATTTTGGAATTTCGATTTCGGCAATGTGTATTTATGAAAATGTTGAGAATCTACAAAAAAATGTGCTACCATGGAAACCTTTAATTGAAATTTCAGCATGAGAAACAAGAATATATCTAATCGCTCAGTTCTGTATTTGGCTGTGATAACGAAGTCGGTGTTCTCATATGATGATGTGGCGTACAATATTTTATATAATATGTACATAAAATAGCGCATCATATCATATATATTATACGTGGAACGCAGAGGAACACAGGCGAATACAATGGTGCGAAACCCAGATTAACAGTCATAAAGTTCACTGTGCTTTGCGACGCTGTACTCGGGTCAGCGCCGATTGGGTAGCACAAGCTTCCTAATACAACATGAAAAAATGAAAAGAGAGAAAAGAAAATATAATAAGCTCTCCGAGGTTTTTGACAAAATATTTCTGCTCCACAAATTCCTGATTTAATCAACCGTTTTACTTCAGAAAGGTTATCTCATCAGGGCTGCTCCAAATCAGACACTTAGTTTTGGAAAAATGACAAACAAAGAAAAAAGAGTATTTTTCAGAGAACCAACTGATCTCACAGAGAGTTACAGGCGAGAATCTTTACGTATAGGTTTACTTTTATTCACGCAAGTTCGATTAACGATGGAATTGTCTGGATTTCTTGACATAGATCGAAAAGACACAATAAGAGACTCATGAACATACTACGTGTTGTAAAGATGGATTTGAAAATGGATTTACAGTAATCACAGAATTAGAAGTAATTGATCGAGTCGTCGCGTCGCTGAGTTATAATTTAGTCGATCGTGAAACTGAACATCTGGTATCAAGTCTGGCTGGTATCAGTAGGATCGACGAAATGTCGGAACCATGTTGCCATCGGATATAGCTTACATCCAAAAGTTTTAGGTAGTCAATTGAATTTTATTTGTCGTATTTGATAGTATGGACTAGTGCCGCTCTTATTGTAACTCTTAGAACAAAAAGTACATTAAAATTATAACTTGCTCTATTGACAATAATAATTTGGTTGTTTAAACAAATAGACGTTTCTTATTTAATGAATGCTTAAAAGCTACTCTTTCTCTCTCTCTCTCAATTAAGGGTAAAAATAATTTTGTTGTATCTTTTTTATATTTTTACTAATGAATATTATAATTAATAATCATGATTATATATAATGGTAATGAAATATTATTATTACAATAAAGTTGCTACTTGTAACGAAAGTTAATTACATTTGTAAGATAGGAAGCTAATAATAATAAACTCTATTTAGCGTTTGTAATGAATTTTTAGTATATCATAATTTTTCCAGATAACAATAATTTTATGGCAATCAGTTTGATGATCTTTCTTTGACGCTACTATCGCGAATGTAAATGAAACTAATACCCTACACCTATAAATTGTAGTAAATGTTGCAGGTGAAATTGTAACGCGTGAGATACTACAGCTGTTATACACGCAACTATTATGCAAAACAACCGCATACGGAACAGTCGAATTTATTCTCTCGGTAATTACTATCGAGATTTACGAAAAACTATGTGGATTTCACATTTATTTACTATTATTCACGAAGCAGAAATATAACTTAATTACCTTTCAATAGAATCTGATTATTTAAAATTTCACTACTGAAATATTTGTATGATTTAAGTATAAATAAATTCCTGTTCCTTAATTTTTCTTATAGAAACAAATATTTCTTCTATTATATTATATGACAAAAATTGTAATTCTTCTTTCTTAAAATTATCTACATTGCTTCAGATAAAAGCTAATAAATACACTGTAGCTAAATATGTGCCTCTTAAATTTTTAATTAAAAAAAGTTTCTGCTTTAACGTTTTGACCACAGTTTTTCCATAAATAGAGTTAGAGTTTTAAGGCTATATAAATCATTGCATATTGTTGGTTTTCGTCGACGAAGAATAAACGGTTGGAATTTGTACGCTTGTCGGAACATTTTTTCTCAGATTTTGAGGTTTGCCCTCCGTCAATTCTCGATCGTTCTTCCTCTTGTATCGAACGACAAACAAATGACGGTATCGATACGACATGCAGCACTCAGCCATAAAATTGTTCGTGAAGAGAAATTCACTATCAGGGGATCGAAGGTCGTCTTGTGTACTTACAGTTGCGTACAAAGTAGTACGACACTTCAGCCATGTGTGCTCGTTGCCAACAAAAATGCTTTAATCGATAATGCCATCAAGATTGAGTTCAAAATCCGATATACACGTTTAAAAGAATCGTTGACCAAAAATCTTAGGTTTTTACCTTAGTCAAACCAATAAAACTTCTAATGCTTTCCCAAAATAGCGTTTAACAATAAATTTACTCTTTTCGTTGCAGATTAAAGACTTTGAATATTAGAACGTCGACTACGAACAATTTCGTACTATAATTTAACTTCCACCGGTACTATATTGCTCTACGCATACATATTTTTTATATAGGAGAATTGAAGGATTTTCCACAAACTTTTTTTGTCATGAACAATTTTTTGCGCCAATTTTGCGGTGCAGTCATTTTTTTTTCTACAACACGGTTTAAAAGGTTCTATTATCTTCTTAATTTATCGATATCATTATTGTAAATATCGTACTATGAAGTATAATAAAGCAAATAATAACTGAAGTGTAGATTAGTTATTCCCTTTTTACAGTGGTCGACACGTGTTAATTAAAGCGAAGATAATTGATCCGTCAATCAAAAACTGCAGTGACATTTTTAGGACAGCTTTCTGAATATACTAACGCAACGTTCACTCTGAAATACATACCGCATATTACATACATGGTAGCAAATCGATAGTTATAAGCAAGAAAGCGATATGTTATATATGAAAACAATTGAACAATGAAATTCGTTTGGCAGTTCTATTCTCTGAAACAAATGTACAATATAAAATTATAATATAAATGTGGGGAATGTAATATAGTAACTTATATGCAAAAATCGTTGAATTAAAAATTTTATTGCTTATACTACTTTTCTTCTGAGCCCATCGATTGATTGAATACGCCATAAATTCTAAGTAAAGTAGAATAGGGGTCTTTGTCGTTAGGGGAATTTAAAGCAAGCTTTTCGCAAGTTACACAGAAGCCTCGGATAGCACAAAAATATTTGAAATCGATAGAAAGCCATTCACTGACGAATATCGATATCGTTTTTACGGATAAAGAGAAACGCTGAAACGTAGGACGATTTTGATACGAGAGTTTGTTACCATGGTAACTATATCTGCATTCAACGAAGTATCGTGGGTCTATTTGCTCTATTCGATTGTGCTTTCTCTCCCATTGTGTTTTTCTTTACCCAGTATCTACACGCATATAGCTAGCCTATTGTTTATGGTTTTCGTCGAAGCTCCGCGTTACTGCGAAGCAGAGGGAATTTAAATGTGAATACACACTTCGAATAAACAGAATGGAATAGTATTCGTCTGGTCCTTATATTCGAATTTCACATCAACATACTTTTTAATGCTACACTAGTTTTTATTTATCGTTTATCGAATAAATAAGTATAGAATTTCCAATGACTTCTCTCTTATTTATATCTAGATTTTACCACTTTTCGCTTCAATTCAAAAAGAAATGTGCTCATGTACACGATTGATTAAAAAATGACTCAAAGGACGTACTAGGGTTAAATATTCAAAATTACAAATTATTTATCCCGTAAAAGAATAGTTCGCAACATGGTGATGCAACTATGTATTGTTATACAATTACTTGTTATTTTTTAACATTTTATATACGTATAAATATATAATTTCCTTTATTTATTTCTCCATGCTATTGATAGTACTACGTCATACGCTTTATCTAGAAATCACAAAAATTGGATAAAGTCGAGTTGGAGAAAGTTAGTTTGTGCATCCCTAGCTGAACGAATTAAAATGCTGTGTTCATTTTCCGCTAAGTTTCCGGCACGTATCCGTCATTAATTAAAACTATGGTAAAATCTTTCGTATATTATGCCATAATGCACCCACCTCCTTGCGGAAAGAACTGTGAGTAGATGCACTTGAAAGTTTCCTCTCTGACGACTCCCGTGGGACATTCTGCCTTGAAGCCACGATATATTCTCTTCAGCTCTGCCTCGGTGAATCTCGTAGCTCGACAAAGACTCGCCAACGAGTCGGGTCTATATCTCGGGGTTTGTTCTTCTTCGTACTCCGAGTCTGTAAAATCGAAATCAAAGGTTTCTGTTAATTATGGAAAAAGTTGCCAAGTACATTTGCCCTTTGCAATTTACTTTCCGGAGTACCGTGATAGTAACTTTAAATTGCAAAAATACGTATGTAGGGTGTTCCATTAATTTTGTCCACTTGAAATGTCTTCGGTATTTCAAATAGCAAGCGAAAATATTGTGTATGAAAGTTTCAAGATTGAGAAAAGTATAGTTTAGAAAGTAAAAGAAAGTAAAGTTTAATTTAGTTGTCTTCGGGTATTGTGAGTACACGTGTACTCCATGAACGAAGTCCTGAATGAAAATACTTTACTTTTTTTACTTAATTCTGGCTTTATCATAGCTATTTACTACATAACATATTTAGTTAATATTGAAAATTCATACGAATAATGTTAATTATCATACACGTTTCGCACATTATTTGTTTGCAAATGCAATATATACCTCCTCTTGATCATGTGTATATGGTGAAAAAGAGTACATAGTACATTCATTAAGACGAACGATTTTTCTATAGACAGTATCGTGCAATTCATGTGGTTCGAGTTACTTGTAAATTGTTTGTTGTGTAACTTTTGGGATAAAGAAGAGAATACCAAATAATAAATCAATTCTGTGCTATTCTGCTTTTGTATTAAAGTATAAAATTTATTGATGTTTCCTCTTGTTCAAGTGAATTTTTTTCTACGCTTCGTAGAATTCGGAAATAACAAATATTCAATAGAACCATTACGCTTGTACGGTATTTAATAAATAGTTATAAATGTTCATAAAATTCATTGACTACAATCAATTTGTTGGGCATACAAATTTAATTGCACGATTATTTATTTAATAATAATACAATTAAATTTTATCGTACAATTTTGCCAGTATAATGAAAGAAAAATGCTCTTTAGATCTCTACAGATCGTCAAATTAAACAATATATCGTGTTTCCAATATTTATTCGCATTATTTTTCAAAACAAAGCACGAAACATTCCACAAGAGAGGAACTAAAAGAAATTTTCACATCACTCATCTTTGACAAATAATAAACAATGTAAGGGCAATATTTTATGATTTTAGAAATGACATTAAATAATCGTATTTGATATTATACGTATATAGTTACACAACATTAATACTGCAACATTCAAACTATCAAATTTGAAACATGGTTAAATTAGGAAACGTGATTATAATTAGTACAGTACACATATGTAAAGTATGGTATTTCTATTACTGTACGATATATCATAAAATATTATAAGACGAATTAGTTTCCTAATAATGATATAAATCAAAAATTTCTAAACAGATCTCGTAATAAGATTTTATTGAAAATTTTATCGAAATAATATGTAAAAGATGTTCAAATATCTTCGTCAGTTATTGCGTCTACTAAAAATTTGAAGTATTTCAAGCGGCACAGTAGAATATTCCGTATTTACACGTAATTTGTCGTTTTGAACAGAACGACGGATGGTTTGAAATTCTTTCTTTCCAACTCTAACAGTAACACTTTAGCTGAACGATATAAAACGTCGGACAATTAATATTCGCACGTCTGTGTTTCTTTACGGTCGCAAAAAAAAAAAAAAAAAAAAAAAAGGATTCGAGGCACGTACGATTAAAATATTATAAGACGAATTAGTTTCCTAATAATGATATAAATCAAAAATTTCTAAACAGATCTCGTAATAAGATTTTATTGAAAATTTTATCGAAATAATATGTAAAAGATGTTCAAATATCTTCGTCAGTTATTGCGTCTACTAAAAATTTGAAGTATTTCAAGCGGCACAGTAGAATATTCCGTATTTACACGTAATTTGTCGTTTTGAACAGAACGACGGATGGTTTGAAATTCTTTCTTTCCAACTCTAACAGTAACACTTTAGCTGAACGATATAAAACGTCGGACAATTAATATTCGCACGTCTGTGTTTCTTTACGGTCGCAAAAAAAAAAAAAAAAAAAAAGAAGGATTCGAGGCACGTACGATTGATGCGCGTAGACGATTCACCAGTCATGACTAACAGTACCTCTTGCACATTTAAATGAATTTTCCGCGAGTGGCGTGCAACGAGCAACCTATTGTCAGCTTGTTTCGATGCACACCGACGTATGCTTTTATTCGTTCCGATTAAACGAGGCGTTGAATTGCAGCCCGGAAAATGCTTTCCAGAATTCATTTACCTTTCATGCGAACGAAAGGCGGTGGCTTGTGCGAGTAACAGTAAAGAAATTTATTGGAAGTCGTTCCATCGATAGGAAGTATCAACCTACTTTTTTTAGACACTACTGTTGAACGATTATAATTTGCGTCGAAACGTTGCTTCCTTCAAATACAATCAATTTCTATACGTATTCAATATGAAAAAGAAATTGTCAAATCGATACATTAGTTGATTGTTATTGAGTAATATCTCACTTTCTGGAAGAGATAGATGTTCTTCCTTTTTGTTTGTCATTTATACTTTCTGATGATTTTCTATCAGGAAAGAACTAAGACTGGTTGGGAGTGAACGTGTTAAATTTTTCTTATTAAGTAAGTTATCTTTTATGCCTCCATAGTACAATTTCCGAAGCTTCGAAATTATAAAATTTACAAGATAATACTATACATATACAGCGGTTAGAAAAAGTACTCGCACACACCTTTCTTCTCCGGTGAAGTGTCCTTTTATTACATTCTATGCATTTCATTTTGGTATGAAATATCATAGTATCAAACTTTGTAATCATATAAAAATACATGACACGAAGTTTAATATACTTGGACTTAATTAATTATATAAATGCTATATTGCATGCAATGCTGTGGCTATACTTTCTTTTGCCACTGTATATTGTTCTCCCTATTATATAAATAAATGCTCTCAGTTAGGAGTTTTCAATTAAACTGGGATAAATTGTAATATCGTTTTAGGAACGTTTCGAAAACTCTCTAAGTAGCGATCTAAATTTTTCACGAGCCTCAGTTAAGCACGATACGGCCAAACGAGAAAAAACCGTAAAGCGATGATAGTCACTCAACGAGGCATCGGAAGAAGAAGGTCGATTGGAGGTAAGTCGAACACAATAACCCTTGAAACACGTGAAACAAAGGCGTACGTGCACATACAGAGGAAGAAGCATATAGGAATATCATGCAACATAGATGGCTGGGTAAAGCACGTAAGCAAGTTGAAGGCCCCTCGCAACAGAAGCTCGGGAGACTCACACGTTTCAGGAAAATGTGTTCTAACCACTTCGTGGGATACGATTCTAGAGTACGATGATGCACGCGATAAATTGCTACGAACTTTGTAAAACATATTTGTATTCTGATACGTAAATTGCTCAATCTCCAAATATCGGCGTAGTTTTGAACGCACAAAGACTCACGAAAGTATTTGGATGTTTATTGTATGAAAAGTTTTTGAATACATTGTAATAAGATCGTAGAAGAATGATCTGATAAGTATTTTCGTCGATTTCTAAATTTTAATATCGCTTCGTAATAAGAAAGAGACATTAATTAATTTCGAAATGAATAGTCAATATTGTTTAAAGAATCGAAATAAAGAACAGTTTCAATTGGAATTATGTTCCCAACATAACGGGTTAAAATATATTTCTCACTTCCCGTTCAACCCTAGTTGATAGTCCACGATTCATGATGGTGGAACATTCAATTTGAATACATGACAATCGGAAAACCCGCCTCTCTGCGTTGCTGAATTTTTGATGGAGACTAGCTATAATCCTGTCAAAATGTCGGCAATCTTTTCTAAATAGACATACAAGCTATGTCAAAAGTTTTAAACAATACTACTTGTATGGAACTTTCCTAAAAGTTCAAAAGTATAAACTTTAAAAGCATGAAATAAATTCGATGTGAGTCAAAAAATTTAGAATGGATTTTAACGGAACAAAAAGAAATTTAATTTACCTTTAAAGCATACATTGATTATTTCGGTCATTGGTGCTCGTTATTTGCAATTTTAATTTAATAATAATTATTTATTTCAGTAAAATATAGTTAACAGGAACACGTATAAGAGAAAATGATATGTCGTTGAAGTGAACGCTACTGGGATTTTACTGTCTCATTTTTAGTGTTCTATATAATACACATTCTATACTTATGTATTCTACACTACACAATTTTATCTTCTATAACTTTAAACTATATTTTAGAAAGGAACATGTGCTGAAGAAAATTCTATTGTAATTCAAAAATATGCTATAAAGTGCTCTGCAAACTAGTATAATTTCAACTACAATATTCGTACACAGGGTGTCCGGTTTATTATATATTAAATATATAATTTATAAATATTTGGAAAAACGTGAATAACACAATACAAATATTTTAGAGACTGATTGATCACATTAAAACCTCACATGAAGAAAATGTTAAAATTTGTACACGGATACCTCCATTTTTTACTATACATTCTCGCAGCTGACATTCGGTCGTTTCCAGAACATTACAAACTCATGTCTTTTGCACCATCCGCTACCAAGATATGAATTTTAGAATTCGATGCGTTGTCAGCATTAGCGTTATCCGACGTACACCGCAGGAATATTTTTCATCATGCTGTTACTGGTATGGCATTGTCGGAAGACAAGATTGCAGTTTCCTAACGTTTCTAAAACAGTTAGTGCATTCCAATCAGCACTTCTAGGTATTATTTTGTATTGCTCTGACAAATTTTGAAGGTTTACCTATGTCACAAGTATGTAGCGTTTTGAAAACGTCTGAATATCAGCTCGAAGGATACGTAATAAAAAAATAGAGGTGTTGGCTTAAAAATTATAATATCATTCTCGCAGAAGGTTTCAAAGTCACCGCAAGATCAAAGACGCAAGAGTATAGTGTGCCTCCCTCTACGTCACGCAATTTTTATCTGAAACATTTTTTCTTCATTTTTATCATCATTTCTTTTTTCATAATTCGTGTTTTTCGAGACATTTAAATGATTCTAGATAAACCGGACACACTGTATATATACACATATACATAAACGAATACTTCTATAGAATTATTATCATGCAAAGATACATTACATAAGAATACTTTCAACAATAAGCCAGCCAAATACCTAAAGCGAATTTCACGCCGGTCCACGCCTGTCGAACGTAATTGATCAACCTCCTGTAGAGAGGTCTTGGTGGTCTTTTCGTTGGAGCACCTTCCTCTTCGTCGCCTTGGCCATCGTTGTCCAAGGTTCCCGGAGGTGGTCCCACGCCTGTGAGTGTGCCAACCTGGTTCCTCTCGCCAAGAATATTTACTACTTCCCGTAGCTCAGGCGCTACGCCCTGCAGTCCTGGAGAGTAATTCGCGGGGG